TGCACTATAGATGAATTGGATGGTCTAAATTGACCGTAGCGTATGAGAGTGTGTGTGAATGCGAGAGTGTATGGGTGTTTCCTAGTACCGAGTTGTGGCTGGAAGGGCATCCACTGCGTAAAATATATGTCGGATTAGTTGGCGGTTCATTCTGCTGTGGTGACCCCTGATAAATAAGAGACTAAGCCGAAGCAAAATGTATGAAGAAATATTATTGTATCAGCATGACCATTCAAAATTATGTGTACACTGTAAAAAAATGTATATAAATAAGCAGTTTTCTGTGTTTTGTGTTTCATCTTTTTATTTTTCCCCTTTTATTTATGCTTTTGAATTGCATTATGGGAGATTTTAACCTTGAGAAGCTTGAAAAAGTGACTTTTATGAACATTTCTAATAGTTTAAAGTGATATATTGTCGGGGTTGTTGTATATTGCAGTAAAAAAACCTTGTAATAAACTGCCAGTCCATTCTCTGTTATTTCTCTATATATTATTTCTTATATTAGATTGTTTTAAACTACCAAAATGTCACTAAAAGTCGCTGTGTTAAACTGTAGAGTTGTTGAATTTTCAACCTCAAAAGTCAACAGAGCAGAAATCAACATCCCATAATGCAATTCACAACCGTAAATAAATGGAAAACACGTGTGAATCACAAAATAGGGAAACTGTTAACCAGGGCCGCCAGCAGGATTTTATTCCAAGGTATGAAAATGATACAAAATTTACATTTTGATGGTAACAACCATTTAAATAATGGCTGTTATTTCTTTCAGTATTCAAACATTAAATAACGAATGCTTCAAGTGAAATAAAAACGAATATGAAACAACACATAGCAGGATATAAAGCATATAAAGCAATATTATATTTAGCAAAATGCTGCTCTTTTTATCTTTGTATTTTTAATTTTTGTTATTTTTAACAATTACCGACCATAATAAAGCTATAGACAAATTCTTGCTTGACATTTTAGAAAATATTTTCCGTAGCTACCCAGTATATAAACATCACAGAGAACAAAAAAAACAAACACCAAAACATGTTACATGGCCCCATAAATGTCCAACTTATAATATTTATTATTATTTTTTAGTAAAAACAATATTAAGAATCCATATTTATTTTAATTATTAATTAATTCCTTTTACTTGTTTGTATAGGCATATATAGGCTATAATTTAAATCATACAACAATACCTTGGACAGCTACAGTGCCACTAAAGCTTTCAAACAAAAGTCCAAACAATTCAAGAAAGATCATACTTTCTCCGGTGATGGCCGACTACTTTACAACACGCCGTAACCATCCTTCAGGTGGTATAGCCGGCATTAAATTACAAAACAAGCTGTTTGGACTTTGAAATAAGTTTGGGCTTTGAAAAGAGCAATTATTTCTCTTCCAGATCAGAGCGAGTTTTTGTGCTACCAAAATACAGCATTGCATCAGTTTATTTAGTCCAGGGGTTACCAACATGGTGCCCGTGGGCACCAGGTAGCCCGCCAGGTTCACATGAGTTTCCCGCGGGCCTGTCCTTAAAATATTTCACCATAGCACCACATATGAGTAAGCTGCATCTAATATTTTTATAGGTATTCTTTTTAAATCACACTTGCATTGGTGTAAATTTGAAAATTACTAAGTTTTTAAGTTATAAGTTTTATTAAGTTATATATTAAAAGTTATTAAGTTACATATATATAAAAAAATAACGTTAAAAACAATTTCAGACAAATAAAGTGTTTCATATTGATATTTATCCAACATATAATTAAAAGTTAATTAAGAAAAATGTGTTATTTAATAACTGCAGCCCTTCACACTATCGGTACACAAGAAGTAGCTCTCATTTTCAAAAAGATTGGTAACCCCTGATTTAGTCAGTCCAAGGTAAGGTTTCATTGCCTAGGAATGTCAATCAAATTAAGCAAACTGTAGCCACGAATAAAATAATAGGCTATTTTATTATTGTAAGATTTTAGACAACGGGTTTGTATTCATATTATAGATGGTTAATTATATTCAAGTCAATAAAATAATAACTTTAATAAATAAAATATGTTTGTAAGAATGTGGTGGGCCAGTGAAAAGCAGCTGTGGTGTATACTGTTTAATAATCAACTTAAATGATGTCATAAATAAATAAAAAAGCAGCATTAATTCCCACCCTCTCATGGTAGGTAGGCTACAGTGTACAGGCGCACGGCTGCAGGCGCCACTACTGTTAACTAACAGACATTTTTTACAGTGTATAATATTCCAGTATTATGTTTATCCTCAAAATAAGCTGGTAATCTAGGGGCAACATCTTTTACAGCTGCATGTTCTGATGAGAAAAGCAGTCAAATTTAGTTTTAGCACAGCTGCATGTCATTTTCAAATGAACTCCAAGACTCCTTGATTGCAATCGTAGCTCATCACTGCTGGATGGTAGATCCTGAAGAGCAGGATTGAGCTCCCCTGCTCTTGTGGTTCTCTGTTTTAAAGGTCAAGCAACAGAGTAAACTGCATTTAATTGTGTGTGTGTGCATGTGCGTGTGTGTGTGTGCTGCTTGATTGTAAAGGTCAAGAAATCCAGCCTAATACAATGGACAGTTTCCTTTCTTTTGTTTTCTTTTTTTCAGCGAGCTGCACATACAGCACTCATAGATGGGGTTGCTGGGAAATGCATATAACATTGGAGATGCTTCCGCCTGGGGGCCACATCGATTGATTTTACATCACGGTGGAAGTCTTATCTGCTGGATCTGTCGAGACCCAGCGTGAAGGGTAAATAAAAAGCAACAAAGCAAAACAGCGATCAATACAAACGCCAACAGCATCATTTTTCAACAGATCTGATTAAGGGAATAGTTCACCCAAGAGGGAAAATTTTAGTTATTGTTTCAAACCTTTCTTCTGTTTAACACAAAAGAAGATATTTTGAAGAATGTTAGAAACCTGTAACCATTGACTATTATAGTATTTATTTTTCCTAAAATGAAAGTCAATGGTTAAAGGTTTCTAACATTCTTCGAAATATCTTCTTTTGTGGTATTCACCTTTTTTTTTTTTTTAAGATTTTAACAAAGAAAAGAAAGGATTGGAACCACCGAAGTGTGAGTAAATAGTGAGTACATTTTTATTTTGAGTGAATATACCTTCAAGAGAAGATTATTTCGCAACTGAATGAGAGAAGGCAAAATGTAATTAAGCTAGATGCTCCTAATTTAACATATTCAAAGAAAAACTCAGGTTATCTTCAGCTTTATTGCTTCTGAGAAGCTCGATTTCTGTCTTTAGTGCACATTTATTGATCAAAGTCTGACAATGTAACAGTATGAAACTGCTTCACATTGAGCTCTTGTGGAGCCATTCAGACTCGTAGGGCAGTCGCCCACTCCCATAGTGCTTTGTGGCAGGCGAGATAAGAGCAGCCCCACACACCTCCAGCCGCCTGTGCCAGACAATGGACTTCCAACTAAGCTATGCAGGTATTTGGTTTTTTAGGTCAGTGCTTTTCAAACAATACTTTTCAGAATGTTCATGACCAGTACTCAAGAAAACCTGCACACTTAACTTTACAACATAAACTGAAGCCAGTTACCTGTGGGCGGTACATGCTTTTGGATGTCAAAATATTCAGTTAAAATTGATCCTAGAGAAAAATATTGTTTAAATGTATGAGGTTAGGTAAGATTTTTAAATGTGGAGTTTAGAGCTAAAGTAAATTAAAATAACTATTATTCCTTAATGTAATATTTTTCTTTGATGAAAAATCCATCAAAAAGCAATGGCTAAAATCATTGGGCTTTATCATTAATCACTGGAAAAATATGTAATTATATTTAGAATAATTCTTAATATTACTTAAAAATATTTTTTCTCTCAAATATTTTACGATTGTAGTTTTTTTTCAGATTTAAAAATCCCCTCACATAACAAATGACGAGTTGATAAGCAAAAACCTCTAAGTGCCGTCTAAATTTTTCCTCTAAAATGTGCATTTTTCTCAGCATCCTGTGTTTATGTTGAGTTATTTTACTTTACATGCAATGGACATAACCTATTTTTTGCACTAAAAGAAATTAAAAATGCTGAAACTAAACAACAACCTGAGAAAACTGTTCATTTTAGATGAAAATTTCAGGAGGCACTTGGATGTTTTTGCAACTAAACTCTTCAAATTTAAAGTGGTTTTTTGTATCGACAAATTTTTGGAAGCTTTTATGACCACATCTTTTGACACTTTTTGTTTTTTAATGAATCGACAAAGCGGATGTCAGTCAAAAAAGGGTCTCTGACATTTGCTGATATATGAAGATAATTGCAACGCTTGTATCTCAAGTGAAATCAGTTAAAACAAAAGCCAAACGACATCTCTAGGTAGAACTTCACTAATCCAGTGTCCATGCTAAATTCATTCAGTTTCTTTTCGGCTTAGTCCCTTTATTAATCTGGGGTCGCCACAGCAGAATGAACCACTAACTTATCCAGCATATGTTTTACACTGCGTATGCCTTTCAAGACACAACCCATCTCTGGGAAACATCCATATACTCTTACATTTACACACGTACACTACAGTCAATTTAGCTTATTAAGTTCACCTATAGCACATCTTTGGACTGTGGGGGAAACGGGAACACCCGGAGAAAACCCACGCCAACACGAGGAGAACATGCAAACTCTACACAGAAATGCCAACTGACCCAGCTGGGGCTCGAACCAGCAACCTTGCTGTGAGGTGATCATGCTACCCACTACGCCACCATGACACCCTCCATGCTAAATAAAAAACGACTTTTACTGACCCTATACATTTGAACAGTAGCATATAATATATCACATGTGTATTTTTGTTTCAAGACATGAACCCATTTAGAGAGAAAAAATGACCTGCAGTAAAAGCAAAGAATGCAGAAGATTCTTGTACACAACACAGCCTTCGTTACACTGCTCCCTAGTGGCTGCAAGTAATACTCATCCTTCCTGCAGTCAAAATAATGATAAAAAAATGATTACATAAAATTTATTGTTGAAGATTTACAAAACTAGAAAGACAGAGCATAAAGTAATATACTGAACGCTGACTTTAAAGTACACTACTGGGAGAGCTGACATGGGGATGTATGAATTGAAATGAATCAGTGTTAGTTACAAAACCATAATAAGACAAAGAAATGCGGAGGGTTGCAGTGCCATTTGCTTAGGATAGATTCTATCCTTGTATCTTATGTATGCAGACTTCATAAAAACTGTGTGTGCAGCATACGATGATTATAAACAGAACTGTTGACCAGATTCAATAAGGTGTACACTTAGTGGCCACTTTATTAGGTACACCTTGCTAGTATGCTTGACTCGTACTTTTATGACATGGCACGTTATCTTGCTGGAAGTAACTATCAGGAGATGGGTACAATGTGTTCATAAAGAGATGGGCATGGTCAGAAACAAAACTCAGGTAGGCTGTGGTGTTGACATGATGCTTAATTGGTACTAATAGGCCCAAAAAGTGCCAAGAAAACTAGCTTGAACCGTTGATACATGGCAGGATGGGTCCATGCTTTCATGTTGTTGACGACAAATTCTGACCCTACCATCCAAATATTGCAGCAGAAATTAAGACTCATCGACCAGGCAACGTTTTTCCAATCTTCTATGGTCCAATTTCAATGAGCCTGTGTGAATTGTAGCCTCAGTTTTCCGTTCTTAGCAGACAGGAGTGGCACCCAGTGTTGTCTTCTGCTGCTGTAGCCCATCTGCTTCAAGGTTGGACGTTTTGTGTGTTCAGAGATGCTCTTCTGCATACCTCGGTTCTACCAAGCGAGTTACTCTTGCTTTTCTATCATCTCGAACCAGTCTGGCCATTCTCCTCTGACATCAACAAGGCATTTGCACCCACAGAACTGCCACTCACTGGAAATTTTCTCTTTTTTGGACCATTCTCTGTAAACCTCAGAGATGGTTGTGCGTGAAAATTCTGAAATACTTTGACCAGCCCGTCTGGCACCAACAACTATGCCACATTCAGTCACTAAAATCACCATTCCTCACGATTCTGATGCTCGGTTTGAACTGCAGCAGATCATCTTGACTATGTCTACATGCATTGAGTTGCTGCCATGTGATTGGCTGATTAGAAACTTGAGTTAACAAGCAGTTGGACAGCTGTACCTAATAAAGTGGCCGGTGAGTGTATATCTACAGTATATACAGTAGAGGTAAACTTCATATCGACATGGCGGGCGGCTGTCTTAAACTTGCTTAAATCACGTTTAAACCAGGCTTGTCATAGGTGTAGCTTTTAATATCATTTTACAGGACACTATAAAGTTTGTACAAATTTACGCCCATAATGGAAATGCTTCAGTTTTGTGTGACAAACCATAGTGTAATGATTCATCAATTAAACAGACTGTTATAATAAAAGTGATGCATGCATTAGAATGATACGCCTTTGATGTATAGTTACAAGATCAGACAAAAACTGTAGGGTGATTAGAAAGACCAGGCACTGTTAAGAGCATCTTCTTCAAAATGATCGTATTACTACACTAAATGGCGTACAGTATGCTGTGTATGTACAAGTTTTTAAAAAATGGCATGGATGTAGGGTCTTCAACATGTATGAGGGGTTTTGTTTGGGATGAGCCCTTGGGGTCCAGTGGAACGGCTCGAGAGCAGACGTGGAGATACGACAGATGGCAGGTGGACAAATCTGTATTTACACTGCCACCATCTCACGCTCTGGCTTCTTTTTCACCCTCTCCTTCTCCCGCACTGAAACATACAACATGTTCTTTAAGCATCTGCATGGTGTATGAGTAGTAGTGTAGTCCTGCAATGTCTATATATACTGTCAGAAAAATACTGAAAATGCCACAGGGAAAAATGGCAACAGCATGAATTCAAATGACAGCATTCATGCACATCTTCATATTCATCCAGTGAAAAATTCAAGCACGGCTCAGTAGCCGGGTTTTAATCTTAAGGTGAAGCAAATATTTTTAAATTTTGCAAAAAATAAATGAATTAAAATAGCAAATAAGGTTTGTTTTGTATCAGCTTGTTAGAGCAGCTGACTGTAGTATTTGTAAGCTAGTAAGCAACAGTAAACAAATCAAGCATAATCATGTGGGTGTAATGTTCGCCAAGTCAAGTTCAAGTTCATATCCATATCCTTAAAATCTTTTTTGTATTAAAGGCATTTTTATTTAAATATAAGGTGTTGTTTTGGGATTCTCATGTGACACTACAAAATACACAATAATCCAGCTACTGATACAATTTTTTTTACTAAAGATTTAATAAAGTGGCAAAAACCATGTATCACTCTCATAAATTTTGCCATGGATGTAGCATTATAATTAATTTCACAAATTTAAATTTAAATTTTAGTGTTGGAGAAAAACAAACACCAACCTAACTTATACAAAGTTAAAACATTATTGAAGACATCAAACAAATAAAAAAAAAAAAAATTACAATCAGTAACAAATATGTTCATAAAAACAGTCCTTAACATTTTTTTAGGAAGTCTGATTTATTTTTTTATTGATTTTATGTTAATGACTATCACAAAAAATTTCTTCCTCAACTGTCAAACTTTCGCTTTAGACTTTAAAGAGTGGTATTGTGTTTACAGTCCCTATCGGTCACGACATTCCATAGGT